CATTTGATATCATCATTTATCACATACTTCCATGACACTCTTGTCTATCCGCTACAACTGCCAAGAATTAACGCGATTGGCGAAGTGTAGTGACAGCGGGCCAACAGAGAGCAGGATCCTTGCCATAATGCGGTTTGCGCGCCAATTTTCGTACGTGCGTTAACCAAGCCGAATAGTTTGGCCGAATATTCGGCTATTCGGCCACGCTCCTGGCCGAATATTCGGTATTCGGCCTGAGGCCGAATATACTATTCGTTACAACACTAATATTAATGTGAGATGACTGTGTTGAATGTTTCTACTATAGATATCATCACATTCCATTCTAATGCAGAAAAAAATATCCTTTTAAGATTCTAGAAATTTGATCATGAGCTACACCCATTCAATTTGAAAAATTATTTAAACTTACAAATATTGAGTACATTTTAGTCATAAAAAATGAAAACCTGTCTGTGGTTAAATTGCTAAACATTTAACTAGATCATCCAAAAGCATTTGTTCAAATATAAATTTTAGGCTGTATAGTAAAGACTTTAATTTCTTAAATTGCATTGTTTTTACAGTAATTGACAAAACATTTTTTTCAACCTGACATGATCAGTTATGATCATGTAATCTTATTTCAGCCACTAGTAAAATTAACAGGACTTAATAAGTCATGTTAATAGATATGTACTAGTGGACAAAACAAGATTACAATAAATTAAGGACATTGAGGCATATTAATTTAACTTCAGTTATGATCAGTTGTTTCAAATTCCATTTATATAAGGAATATTTATATTTATGTTTAAGATATGTAAGATTTATATTTACATATATATTTAAGATTTGCTAAACTCTTCATCATTATTTATCATTAATTGTCATTATGTACTTAATGCATATATTCATATTTGGATCATTTCAATCAGTCACTACAAAACTTGTCATTTTAAACTGAATGCAATGTGCAAAAAATGAAATATGTTGTTTGAAGTTTTAATTCAAATTGAGAAATTTTATAACTATTCAAGATGATGTGTTGAATGCATTGACTTTTTCAGTGTATAAATTTAGGTGTTCTTGATTTTTATTATTTTACTTCCTTAAAGATTGGAATTGAATTTTGAAAATTATTATATATTAGAGAGGTTGAGGCGCACGTATTTAGCCCAAAACGTGTATGGGTAACGGGTGAGTGCTGCCATCTGGCAGTTCTGGACCGTCGATAATAACGTTTGCTACGTGTAGCTTGGTGAGTACACGATTGGCTTAAACGTCTTCATTTTTTTGTGTTTGGGGTTAAAATTATGATTTATTTTGCTTCTGCCATTTTTTTCAACTTATTTCCCATGAGTCAATGCGCGATGTTCACTGAGTCACGTGATGTTATGAGCGTGTTCCTCAACGATTTTTACTTGGACTTGAAACGTGTAACGTGTACTTCTGCTACCCGTACACGTTTAAAGTTTGAACTTGTGCCTCAACCGTTCTATTCAGGTAAATATGTATGTATAAATGAGTTTGACATATTTAATGTACAGAATGTTTAATTTTTGTTATTTGATGGAAAATTTACAATATATTTATTATAATATGAGTTGGTGATTTATGATCATTACATTTATACAAAAGTCTGAGTAAATTTCTTAAAATAAATTTTGTTTTCTAGGGGTCTTGGTAAACAGGGATATCAATGTCAAGGCAAGTAATATATATTTTACATAATAAATTAGCAAACATAAACATTAAGAATTATTTGATGATTTTAAATAACTTTATTTAACACGATAAAAATTTATAATGAATTATAAGAGAATATTTTCAGTTACATATTTCATACTTTTCATCTAAGTGTAAAAGTTAAATTATTTTTTAAATAAATTTTTCATGAAAAAATTGCATTAAATATAACAATTACTTAATGCAAAAAAAAAAAAAACTTCAGTATCAACTCATTTCTTAACTCATTTCTTTTTTATATTTATGATGAATGATGGGTTACAGTGACCTGAAAGCATTAGGTAGAAATTCTAAAAAAGCAGTTTATTAAATGAAAATTATAATTGATTTAAAGTAGTTAGCAATTTTATATTTCATTCATCAAAAATGGAATTATTTAGGTTAGGTAGAAATTCTCAAGTAAATAAATAAATGTGTGTATGTATCTATATATATGAGAATTTTGGCATAAATATACATACAGTCAAAGCACTTATGCATTTATTTAGACATTATTAATATTAAATAATTAATATTTTTATGTTTTTGTTTTTGAACTGCTATTATGTGTCTGCGTGAAATATGAAGAACAGTAATTAAATATACTAATCAACAAATTCTTAAAGAAAAATAAAAATGAGTCTGAAATATAAACTAGAAGAATTGCATTAGACAGAGATATGATGCAATGCAATGCAAGTGCAGTGTTAAGGAGTAAGGTTTAATAGAAAGAAAATGTATCTAATCATTATTAAAATCATTTCAGAAATTAATAATTTAAATGAACTAAAATTACTGTATTTAACTGTCTTTTTATCAATGAAATAATTATATTCATTTACTAATAATTTTCCCCCCTCCTTTTTTAGTATGTACCTGTGTAGTTCATAAACGTTGCCATGAATTTGTTGTTACAAAGTGTCCAGGATCAAGAGATACAACAGCTGATGAGGTCTGTATTTAATAATTTGACTAGAATCAAATAATTATTATTTTATTTTTTATGAACTATTAATCGTAGATAAAATTATTTTCATATACTGTATTTTTGCAAAATGACCGGCATGCCACACAAAAATGGGGGAGGCTAGCATGCTGGAAACCCTGGGTATAAACTGTGACTAAAATACAAAATTAATTGGATCTAACAAAACTAGTTGTTTATTAAACATTTAAGAAGACATTCTTCTGAGTACAATAAAATAACATTGTAATTTGACCGACTTAAAATCAGGAAAAGAGTTTTTGTTTAGAAGACAATAAAACAATTAAACTGGCATGCTGGCATTCTCATGGAATAAACTGACATGTCTGCTTTTACCATACAGAATTTGTGTCAATGTCTTCTTAATGTGCATATATACTGTACATTTTTACATATTTTGGTATGTACAGTACAGTACAGAAGGCCCGTTTTTATAGTTTGGGTATGTACCAAAATATAAAAGGAGTCACAAACTGTTCTTCACAATTTTTCAGCAGGTGAGCAATCATGGTGCTCACTTTGTCTGATCATGTGTTATTTGTTAAACTCTTTTATCAACAAAACATGAATGCCAGCTCAACACACAAGGAATTTTGATACTTAAAAAGTTTACAAAGAGATCCTCTGTTAGGGATCTTATGAAAATGCTCCAAAATTTCATTATTTCAGCACAGAAATTGTCTGAACACCACAATTTGTATTATAACTAATACTTATAAAACAAACTTATATATTTATAAAAAAAACTTTTTTATTATGTTGATGATTGTTAAATTGAAAGAATGAAAATTAATTTCAAAATTTTTTTCAATCATTCAGAATATCAATATAAAATGTAACTGTTACAATCTTGTATTGCTTTATAGAACTCATTTGTTAATAACACTCTTATGAATCATGAATTTATGTTGTATATTCAATATTAAATAATAATATTTTTATTATACTGTTTTGTATAACAGTCAAATTTTTTTTAGTTTACAGCTGGAAGTAGATTTAACATCAATATGCCTCATCGTTTTACAGTTCACAATTATAAAAGGCCAACATTTTGTGACCATTGTGGTTCTATGCTCTATGGTCTTTTTAGACAAGGATTACAATGTGAATGTAAGAATAATAATTTGATTTTTTTGATTTATATGAAATTTTAGCTTATGGATTTATTTGATTATTATTTATTGCTAAATAAATTTGAGGGACAAATAAAATGCATTTTGTTCTATTTATAGCCTGCAGCATGAATGTACATAAGAGATGTCAAAAGAATGTTGCAAATAATTGTGGAATAAATCCAAAACAAATGGCCGAAATATTAAGTGTTATGGGTATATCTGGTGATAAGTTGTCCAGGAAAAAGAAAAAAGTAAGTAATTATACTAATATAATTTTTAGTATTAATAATTTGGAGACAAGAATAATTCATGTAAATGTAGAAATCTATTAATTATATAAGTGAACTTCATTACAAAAGAAACATTTATTTTGATGCAATATTTACATTCCACATAATTCCTTTATGAAAGTACTGTGTAATAATTGTGTTGAACATTTTCCTACATTATTTCATTGTAACCTTGGACATTGAACAATAGGCAGCATTTTAGATGATGATATCATCATTATTAAGAAATTTCAAGCCTAATGAAGCAATCATTATCAGGTTTGTAATTTCTTTCAAAATATAGATTGCTTGATAAATTGTCATCTTAACCCATTCAGACCAAACTCATTGATATTGGGAATTTCAGACTTTCAGCCAAATTTTCCAGTATACAGAAAATGGAAAACTTTCAAACTGAAAATAAATCAGCTAATCAGAGCAAATAAATATTGTGAGTGTAGTATTAATATTAGTAAATGCACCCTTATTTTATCATCAGTGTTATCATTTTTGGGAAGATATCACTTAATTTTTTTGTCATGGAATACAACTTTCTGGAACAAGCACTTTTAGTAAGAAATGTTACAATTAAAATCAGAACTAATTAGAGTAATGTTAGGTTGTGAATGCAATATTTTGCAAATGTCATCCTCCTGAATTAGTTGAATATGAATCTGAAAGTAATGATGACATCTCTCATGGAGTATGGTTCTTGATCTTTGTTGATGTTGGTAAAGCAGATGTTTTAGACAAAGATTACTAATTAAAGGTATAACTATTGCAGATATTTTCAAATTTTACATCCGTAGGTAGTAGTTTTTAGGTAACGTCTATGTGTCCTTATTGGTTTTTATGTATTTTTCTACAGAGCTCAGGCCAAAAGACAAATTGGCTTGCTTTGATCAGGACTTACAGGATTAAACTAATCTGTGTGATTATAAAAAATAAAATAATACACGATATCTTAAATTTATGTTGTAAATTATTACTGAAATCACAAAATATGTAAGAGTAATTATTTTCTGATATATGAAATAATTGTGAAAAATTTTCATTTTTTGAAATCATCAATTTATTTGATAATTAACAAATTGTAACCATAATAAAATGGATAAAAGTATGTTCAATGCTAAAAATATTTTAACAGCATCTTATTTGTTGAATTAATGCAAAAATTGTCTAAATTCAGAATCATTGACGTCAAAAATGTAACAGTGATATAATTTTTTAATTTTACATTATTCTTGCACTGCAGAAATGATATCCATCTAAAGATTTGAATAGAATTTTCTATATCATTGATTAAAAAAATTATTATTCACATATGTTTATTTCCAAAAATTTTAAACCAGTTTAATTAGATTATTTAGTCTAAACATATAAAATCAAATAGAAATCTCTAACTTGTAATCAACAAATATACATATAATACTGTAAATATTAGATATGATTCTATAGAATAGAGCTCTGCAACCAGTGTGCTGTGGCACAATGCCTCCAAGAGGAGAAAGCATAAAGTTTATGGGAACATGTGAATATGATAAATATATGTTGACTCGAAAGGGACATTGATTTGTCTACTACATGTTTATTGCTACAGATGTTTATGAGAGAAGGAATTCTAACAAGTTTCAAGTTTTTACACATTTGCTATCATATTTTACAGAATATGTGCACACATTTACTCACAAACTCATCTTTAAACAGTGAGACTCATATTTCACAGAATCTGTGCACATGAAAATTTGGAAAGTTGCATGTTACAGTCATCACAATGTTTGTGAAGCAACAAGTAGATGTCTTGTCACTTGCACTTATGATCATGGAGTCTAGACCCAGATCATGTGCTTTTCACACTAGAATTGTATGATACTTTGTCCAGGGTAGTTCCTGGGTTGTTATGAAATAAAATCAAAATAATAAAATTGATTGTAAACTAATTTCAAATATCTTTATATTATCACAAGTAAAAAACAGGATCAGTATTATTTTGGTATGTACTTTGTAAAACTCCTATATTTTTTGTATATTTTTACTTGTGGTGTGCCACAGAATTCTGGGAAGTATCTACATGTGCCAGGCATGAGGAAAGATTTCAGAGCACTGCTATAAAACCTAAACAGAAATGATGTTTTATTGTTATGTTATGTATATCTTTACATTTGGAAGATAATTTTCTTATATTAGCTGTGTAAATGAAATGTAGATTTAATAGTTTCTAGTAAAATCAGTCAAGTCATTTATATTTTATTTTAAATTAAACTATTAATGAACTGCAAGGGACATCAGATTGTAAATAATTTATCAAAGAAAAATAGCACTTAAACCAATATTATTTTATTATTTAGCAAATTTCTATATTTATTTTTTATCAAGCTTCCTTGATAAAGTATTATATGACGGAAAGTCAATAAATAAGCTATAACCAGGTATTGCTCCAGAAGTATGCAACGTAAAAAATTTATTTCTTTTCTGTTGATAGGACAGCCATTTAATGCCTTTTTTTTAATTTTGTTATTTTAACTTATTCTTTACTTAGGTGTGTCTCTAGCAGCACTTCTGAAATTCAGTTAAAGTGTGGTGTTCTAACAACACACCCACACTTTAACTTAATTTCCATTTACAATACATTTTGGCATTTGTTCCATCTCTTTATGAAGTCATTATTCTGGAAGAAAAGAACTGTTTTGGTTGGCTTTGCAGCTATTTGTTTCACTTCACATTTGACTTCTTTGTTATCTGAAAAGTGAATCTTGGCTAGGGCTTGTTTCAATGGGTGTCACCAAATGAGTTGAAGTTAGTAGGGACTAAGTCCAAACTGTATGATGGATGACTCAGCAGTTCAAAGCTGAGTTTACAGATTTGCTTAGTTGTTGCACATGCAGTGTGTGGACACATGTTGTCATGGAGGAGAAGAATGCTGTATTCCAAAAATCTGATTTTCTTCCAAATCAAGGTTTTCAGCTTCTTCAACATCTCTCAGTAAAAAACTGCATTGATCTTTTAACCACAGAAACTGAACAACAGCTCTTTGCTCAACAGCAGTACAAGTGTTTCTTGATTAACACAATTAATTAATCTCTCGATGCTACTGTGTATATTAAAATCACATTAATCAAATACAGTACTCAGTATACCTCTGTACTTGACCAAACATTCATGACCAGCTAGAACAAATTTTTGGTTAATAACAAATATTTTTATTTTAATTTTAATTTTGTCATCCATAAAAATTTTTCTATGATAAAAATGAATAACTAATATAAAAATAAAATGAAACCCTAGAGCTGCCTACTATTGTCAGACAAAATTATACTCAATCCTGTTTGTTTTTTTCATTTAATGCATGCACAACACAATCATCATGTTTTGCAATCATTCCAAATGGATGAAGTGTTTCACCAATGCATTTTGGTGATAAACTGAAATTTGTTGCATGTTCATGAGTTGTTATTTGTTGATTTTTAACAATTTTTTCTTGCAGTTTCTCTTCAACAACAGCTTTTGGGCACACTATATGTTTTCTATCCTTTAGTTCAAAATTTTCCAAATGAAACTTTTTAAACCTCATTTGACACATTCAATGTTTAGGAGCATCTTCCTAGTACATGTTACAATATTTTTTACTGTTTATATATCATTATATCCTTTACAAAATTATAAAAGCACAATATGCCTAATATGCATTTTACCTGAAGACATTTCAATTTGATTTAACAAAAACAAAATGTGAAGTAAAAGTTTTAGAATAAGCTTCTAACTAAAGAATACAATATCACATTTAAATTTCACAAATATTATAATTAAATCACACATCTATGTAAAATAAAGACAGCTATTAAAGACTCAGTTAATTAAAGCTTCTTCAGCATTTATAAAAGAATTGTTGCAATTAATTTGACAGTGTTAAGCAAGGGATGCCATACACCCTTTCAACACTTTGCCATCTTTAGCTGCTGATAATGCAACACCAAATGTGGAATTGGAAGTCATCTATTGATTGTCTAACTGGAAACTGTAACAACTGTACAATCAGAGCAATACCTGTTTGTAAGTTACTTATTAACTTTCCCACATATAAACTGCTGGTTTTATCTGTGTAAATCAAATCTTTGCATAATCTGGTGACTTAAAAAAAGAATTTACTTTGTTCTTAATGTGAATATATAGTATACTATATTTACATTAAGATCAAAGTAAATTCCTTGTCTAGTACAGTAATACCCTGAACTTAACGCAATAGGTGGGACCAAGCGATAACTGCGTAAGTCGGGGTATAATTTTGCATATAAATACATACAAATTATTTTTAATTGGGGCCAGAGACTAAAGAAAACAATAATTTAGAAAAAAATGTTTAATAAAATCTTAGATAATACATACATATAACAAATTATATTATTAAAATCGTAAACTTAAGTTATTTTGATGTAGAAGGTTTCATAAAATCTAACAAATTTGTCTGACGGCTCAAAGATTTTTTTCCTCCCGCAAAATTTCCTCGTAGCACGCTAATAATTTTTTTATTTCTCGTTTTGTAGAAGAAATGCGCTCTTCGTTGGAGTCTATATTTTCTAAAATTTGTAACCCCTTTTCAATAAAACTGAGGCCTTCTGTCAATTTTCCAACCGTCATTCGATCTTCTGATTGAACTGGATCTAAAGAATCAAGTTCTTCAATGTCTTGCTCTTGCTCACACATTTCTATGAGCTCATCAATTGTCAGTTCCTGATTGTGGGAATCCAGCAGTTCTCGAACGTCATCACTATCCACTTCTAAATTTATTTGCCTGGCAAGATCGACAACTTCTTCAATCACATTACCAATTTCATCAGGCTCTGGCACTGATTCCGCCTGAGTTTCAGTGGTGAAAAAAAAGGACACAGTTTTTTCCAGACGCCATTTAAAGTTTTTTGTGAAACTTCATTCCAAGATTGTCCAATGATTCTCACTGCATCTAAAACATTGAATTGTTTCCAAAA